AATCACTATCTTTCAATCTAGCTTCCCCAGTAGTACTGGTAGTGGTACTTTTGTCTGACAGCAAACAAAATTTCTATATCTAAGCGTAGTAGAAGCATACAACAATTAAGTGAGCACACAAACATAAATGCATGAATTTAACAATTATCTAACCTCAGCATGACCATAACATATTACAGCCAAAAAGACTCATTCTTCGAGTTTCTGAAAACAAGCTGAAAAAACAGATACATTTAAGAGCCTTTTAAAAATTGACCCAATTGGACTCTGTATAGTGCTGTACCTCATTTGAAGGAAGTCAATTTCAAAAAGGAGTCCAGAGAGAAAAATCTCAAAATATCACATGGCTTTTCCAACAAGTGGGCAAACAGGATGTTGTCCGAAAATGAGAAAGGACAGAGCTGATTCTATAAAAGAGACGCTATCAGCTTAATAACGGGGCAGAGAAGAACCACTTGTTTCAGGTCTTCAAAGCTGAAGAAGTTATACTTTATTGATTTAACTTTATTAAAGCCCTGAAATCCTCTCACAAGCAGATGGTATAAAAAGACATGTCTCGATAATTGAATTACAAACCAAAAATTTTGAATATAGATTTTATCTCAGAGTTTGTTCATATATCCAGAATAGGTAATTTTGCTACTGCCATTAGATAACCTCATGCATTTATTTCAGATTACATCAAGATCTACCACTAGATACCAATCCATTGCTTTCTTTCAGATGTATACTTGGACAAAGAAGCTAACAACAAACTTCTACATCTTTTAGATCCAATAAGGATATTCCTATATGAAAACCAACCAATCAACCAACAGCTATATAATTTTATTTTTAGAATTTTAATTTTAAAACCCTTTTTCGGGCCCAAATTGTTTGAGAAATCCAGTCAGGTCCAAATATCTAAATTTCTAGGAAAGACTATTTCAATTCACCAGCAAGGAATAACCAAGTTTGCTGTACCATCTGCTTCACTGAGAGGGTAGTTATATATATAGTAGAGTGAATCTGTACCTTGCACCAAGGCATTGTGTAGTTTGTGTGGTTTTAAAATTATGAGGGAAAGGATTATTTAACAACTCACAATTAAGCCATGATTAAGATCATTGAGTCAACACAACATGGTCAAAACTCAGATGGATGCTCAAGTTGTGACTCATGTTGATGCTAATGCCAGACACAGTGGATCCATGGTAAAGCAAGCTGAATGTATAATTTCCACAACAGAGTAATGAAAGAAACATGTCCACCAAGTTCATTATTAATCTTATTTCACAAAAGGCCAGTGTCATTGATATGCAGGCTGAAATCTCCTCCTTTCCATACAACGGCATTATTTCTGTTACTTGCATTCAGGTAAACAATGCAAATGGGAGAACCTGTAGTTAAAATAGCTTTCCTAATCTGAGAGCCATATTTTTGTGTTCAAGGGAGGTTCTACAATCCACATACATCGTAAGGGCAATACTGTTCACACAAACGTGGTCATGGATTCAGAATAGAAAGAACCTTAATATGAGACCTGATTCAGAGAAACACAGGATGAAACCCAGAGCTTTCTTAAACTCAAGTTTTGGTGCCTAAACCAGCACATACCCGTTGGCTACCATTACAATCCTAAACATGCTTCCCCCCCTCTTTCTCCCTCAATTAGGACAAGAACGGATTTAATTCCAATTTAACTCAATGTAAATTCAAAACAGTTAATGGGATTACTCCCCAGGTATTTGATAATTTCCATTTCTGTAACAAATTACACCTGGAATTTGGTCACAAATTTTGCAAAGGCTCTGGGGATTGCACCTAAAGCTTCTGCTGGCTACCTCTGGCTCTGAAATCAAACAGAAATCCATTGATTTTAATAAAATTTGTTTCTAAAGAGCACCTTTGTGATGGGGAAGTTGAAGTTTTTCAGCTGAAGTAAAATCTGTATATTCTATCTCAGTGGAGCAAAAGGTACAGCCAAGGAGCTGTCTATCTACAGCCTACCAGCCTTCCCTATTGATGCGGCCAGAGCATGACATGTGGCCTTTTTTTTTTTTTTTTTTTTAGTAATTTGGAGAGGAAAAGCGAAGGGGCAAAATTGGTTCTTCAAGTTTTGCAGAGACTCCTTCAGATTCACAAGATCCCCAGGGAATGTTAGCTCAGCTCATGTGGAGTGTTGCACTTGACATGCCAGGCAAGCCTGCAACCCTCCAGCCCACAGACTGTGCACTCCTGTTGTAGATCCAAATCAGCACCATGCACAGATACCATCAGACTCATTTGTAGAGATGCATTCGTATACCTATACTGTGACACTTCGCCTGATCAAATTCTATTTATATTCAGATATGCATGCCCATATCTTTGCTGTCATACAAATTCAATATTGTAAATACCTAAATGGGATTACACACCTATTATCATAGGTACACCTGTTCATCAGTGCACAGAAAGATGAATTTCCTCCATACTTACTGTTGGTAATCTAGATACTAGAAAACCAGCCCTTATACACACACAAAATCCATAATTTTAGCCCCAAAAAATTCACTTAAGAACACTTTAGAAATAAAACAATATAATGAAGATGTTTTCAAACTCACATATGCCATTTACACATATAATTTGGATTCATGCGGTGGGAAAAGTGAAAAATGTACATCCATATACACAAACCTACAGAAGTAATTGCAACTTTACTTCAAATCTAAAAGATGCCTGGTGATTTGTCCTTAAGTGGGCTTTTAGGACACACAGATATGTATGTTCATAACAGTATATGACAAACAAAAATCTTCTCTGATCTTTTCAGGCCTATCACCATCCTGTAAGTTCAGCCTGCCTACTTGTATATATTTCCATAATCCAATAAATCAGAATGAGAAAATAAAAAATGGGACCCAGGTTCAAAAACAAGCGGACAGGGAAGCACAGGGAGGATAAAAAAAAAACTAGAAATCCTTCCGCTACCATACCCATCCCAAATATGGACAAACACAATTAATAATCCAAATTTAGCCTGCCTCCTTCTTATCAGGTTCCTACCCATTCTCTTTATTACAGAGGCTTTAATGTGCCCATTCATTGATTGTAAAACTGTCAACTCCTGCTTTTGGCTATGGAGAGGACACAGAGGAATTAAAAAAAAAAAAAAGCAGAAAGAGCCCCTCCCCCTCCTCTCCACTCCCCCCACCCCCACCCCCGTTTCTTTTAAATTCACAACATTGGCATACAAGGTCATTCAGTGAATCAACAATAGAGATAAGCGCTTTAAAATGCTGGAAGTCTTGATTCTCAATTCCTGCCTTTGCACCCCACCTTCCTAACCCCATTGGAAAAGATAACTTAGGTGCCTCAACGCCCTGTACCCACACTAAACCACACTTCTTGCCACGGGGGAAACTAATCCACGCCCCAATCTTCAAGCAAAGCAACCAACCAGGCTAGCCAACCTGCATTTTCCCTAGCTGACAAGGCCTTTCAGGTTTCCAGTGATAGCTTTGCTGGTGGGTGGGGGTGGTCATACAACTCCCACCCCAGGCAAACACATTTGTTACAACTCCCTTACAGCTTCTTACAAGCTGGAGGTTCCATCTTCCTAGGCACACACACACTCCTGTCTCCGTTCCTGAGACGTGAGGGGGGGGAACAGAAAGAGGGGGGGGGAGAAGAGGAGCCTTGTTTATGGCACAGGCTGCCTGAGAACACATGGATGCCATAGAAACCACATCCTGGAACCCCACCCTCAAGAACACCCAGTGAGGGGTGGGCTCAGAAGTCTGTCTCACCCTGGAGAGCATCAGGAGAGGGTTAAAAACCAGGCCCTTGGCGTGATTCTGACTTGAAGCCCATGTCTAAAATCTCTACTGCGACTTCTTTCCAGAAACAGAGAGACCACCCCCAGTCTCTTGGGGAATCCGTCGCCTCCTTCTTCGCTTCCCCAGGCAAAGTCCTTGAAGCAGGGGTGCTGAGAAGAACGTAGAGACTATCGATGTCTGAGGAAAGTCAGCAAGTGCTGTGAAATGGGATTTCACTGCCTGTGTTTCGTCTCCTGGGCTCTTCTGCTTCCCCCCCCTTTTTTTTTTTTTTACTCCAGACTGAAACTCGCCCTTGGGAACACTCTGGCCTGACCAAGAGGGCTAGCCGAATGGGGACAAGGGGGTGGTTTCCAGCAAGGGAACGGAGCTACAATCAGCCAACCCCAAAGATTTTGTTTCTCTTTGAAGAAGGCAACCTTCTAATCTCCCCAAAACTGGAAAGACCCTATTTCCTTCATCGCTGCCACCACCCCCTCCCCTGCGGTACCAGGATATTCAGAAGACTTGGGGGGGAAACCTTCACAACCCTCCTTTTTTTAACCTATCCTCCCTCTTTAAGCCAAGGACGTTTCCAAGATCTTGGGAAATAGGAAGTGGGGTGGGGGGGCACGGGGTGGACGGCTTCCTTACCTTCTTGTTGCTCTTGTTGTAGCCAAAAGTGGCAATTCCTGCACGAGGAGGCACAGAAAGAAGCATTTTCGCTTAAATGTTAAGAGAGCTTGGAAAGGGAGGGGAGGGGGGAAGAGAAAGAGAGACACACACACACACTCACACAGAGAGAGAGAAAAAAGAGAGAGAGAGGGAGAGAGAGACAGGGCTTCTGGCTTACGTCACCAAAGCAAGCCAGCTTGGAATCTAGGACTAGGGTGCCTGCATTCCGCCAGGTCCTAATGCCTACACTAGCATAAACCAAGAGAGGTTCCTTCAAAAAGAACTGGAAATTTGGAAAACTAAGTGCAGAAGTTAAACCATAAGCAGCCCTGCGTGCCAAAAAGCGTTCCTGTCACTGACTCCGGCTTCTGGCTGCCCTAAAAAATAGAACTGTCATATGGCTAAGCTATTTATCAGGTGTCCAACAAACACTGGCAATGCCCCTTCTTTTCACCACACAGGATGCTATATGCCAATAATTGCCCAAACCACATTACGTGACTAATGGACACCCTACACAGATCCAAACTAAAACCTCACACCGGTAGGAGTTTTTGCAGAAGAATATGCTGCATTCCGGATTTCCTGGGATAACCAATTTCCAACACACTCTTGTGTCTTTTGGACCATGCCTTTCTTTCCTGGATAAAACCGATTCCTATGTGTCATTTCTACAATTGAGAGTAAGCAGAGTCTCAGAGTATTTTATTGATTAAAGCCATCACATGTTTTCCAAATTCTAGAACAAGTTTTCTTTTCCTACCTGGGGAAAATCAAAGGAAGTTTACTCTTAACAACCAAGATTCGGAGTCAGAGGAGAGAAGCTGTTCTGTGTTGACTGTGGACCATGCATTGCTCTGGAGGTAGCTTCAGTCTGAAACACAAGCAAGACCACAGCTTCATTTATGGGGATAGCTCTCCCTGATGGCCAATAATTCTGCCCTCCCAGTATGCGGAACAATTAAACACTCTTCTGCTACATTCATTGATAAGTTTCAAATGAATTACTCACCCTCTTGTGGAGATGAAGCAAAGAGGCAAGGTAAGATCATGTAACCATACAGAGATACAACTTCCTCTCAGCTCAATTGACTTGAAAACAAATGAAGTAGTTGCCTTTCATGATATTGAACTGCGTTCCACAATTGTATACAGGTAGTCCTTGACTTAAAGCAGTTCATTTAGTGACTGTTCGAAGTTACAATAACACTGAAAAAAAGGGACTTGTGACAGTTTTTCACACTTGTGACCGTTGCAGCATCTCCACGGTCATGGGATTTACATTTGGATGCTTGACAACCTGTTTGTATTTATGACGGTTGCAGTGTCCCAGGGTCATGTGATCCCCTTCTGCGACCTTCCAACAAGTAAAGTCAAAGGGGAAGCCAGATTCCCATGTTGCTAATTTAAACAACTGCAATGATTCACTTAACAACTGTGGCAAGAAAAGTCATAAAATGGGGCAAAACTCACTTAACAAATTTCTCACTTAGCAACGTACATTTGGGGTTCAGTGATGGTTGTAATTTGAGAACCACCTGTACTATTGTTTCAGGAGCAAAAAGTAACCTCAGTGTACTTGAAAGTTCTGGTTGTAATGTATAATTTCTATAATGCATTCTACAGAAATTAAAAATATACCTTTCTACACCCATGAGCAAACGTTAACTATGGTACAGGTTATTTACATTGATTTATGACCACAATAGGGACTAGAACTTCCATCATTAAGTGAGTGCGGTGGTTGTTAAATCAATCACACCCAATCGTACATCCTTTTTTGCTGCAGTTTTTAAGCAAATCATGGCAATTGTTAAATGAATCACATAGTTATTAAACAAATGTGGCTTCCCCCATTGATTTTGCTTGTTGAAAGCCAGCTAGGAAAGTCACAAATGGCGATTATTTGACCCTGGAACATTGCAACTGTCACAATACATGCCAAGCACCTGAATTTTGATCCTGTGACCAGGGGGAAGCTGCAATGGTAGTAAGTGCGAGAGCCAGTTTTTTCAGCACCATTGTAAGTCAAGGACTAGCGGTAAATAAACTAAGACATTATGTTTGACAAATCAAGTCCTAGTACACTTATAAATCTAGCCACTGTATTTAACCAACCATGGTTAAAGTAAACCACGTCTTGATGTGTATAAACTCAGCAACTTCACAATATTACAACTGAGCAATATTCAGAGAGCTTTGGATAGAGCATGGGTAGGCAACCTTGGCTTTTATGACTCGTGGACTTCAACTCCCAGAATTCCTAAGCCAGCATGCCTGGCCCAGGAATTCTGGGAGTTGAAGTCCACGAGTCATAAAAGAGCCAAGGTTGCCTACCCCTGGGATAGTGGGTAAGAGAGCCAGTTTGGATCGAGAGTCAATTTGGTCTAGTGATTAAGGCACCAGGCTAGAAAGTGGGAGACCATGAGCTCAAGTCCCACTTTAGCCATGAAAACCAACTGGATGACTTTGAGTCAGTCACTCGCTCTTAGCCCCACATTCCCTCGCAGAGTTGTTGTAGGAAAAATAGGAGGAGGAAGGTATGCTATTTGAGTTTTTTTGTAAAAATAATAAAGGTGGGATTAAATAAATAAAATATAATAAATAAAAATAAATAAGGCAGGATAGCAAAAAAATGCAGTTTCTCCTATCTGTGCAAATATTCCAAAGAGAACAAGTGGTACCTCCCCACACACACATACACTTCTGTTTTAAAGGAAATCAGAGGGTTTAGCACAGTGGTTCTCAACCTGTGGGTCAGGACCCCATTTGGGGTCGAATGACCATTTCACGGGGGTCGCCAAACAACGCAGTCCGCCTTTTTTTCCCCCCTTTTCCTTAGCTGTGCTACTCCCTTTTATTCTATTGGCTTTTGAAAGCCAATAGAATAGACTCTCTTGAATAGAGTCTAATTCTATTGGCTTTCAAAGCCAATAGGAATTGTCCAGGCTGTCTCTGCCCTGCTGAGCCCGCCAAAAGTCCCATTCTGGAAACAGTGCTGCACCAGTTGAGTAGTCCTCGACTTACGACCGGTTGAGTAGTCCTCGACTTACGACCGGTTGGGGGTCGCGGCATTAAAAAGGTTGAGAACCACTGGTTTAGCAAGTCATGAAAAATAAAGAAAAAGTATAAAATGTCCATCACTGTGTTTCTATAACATTAAGAGTGCAAAATTCTCCAGGAATTTTATTGCCCTCCACTAGGGAAAAATACCTTCTCTTCATACCAACAAATGTGTAGCTATTTTAACTGGAGCCTGTCTTTTGCACATTTAAGGGGTTTTAAATGTCCATTCAGATATTTCATATACAAATAGACATGCCTCACTCACATCAGTATACTTTTGCTCAGTGTTTTTTGTAAAAAAAAAAAAAAAAAAAGTGCCGGAACTCACACGTCATGCAACCCGCCTTGCCTATCCTACAAGGTTCCATCCAAAAAGGGTGCCAGAATTCCGTTCTGGGTGTTCTATGAGAAACAAAGCCCTGCTTTTGCTGGGAAAATACATTTCCCTTCTTTCCTTGGTATGGTAACTGCTGCAACTGAATATTCAGAACCGGCAGAGACAACTGGGGGCAGGCAACTGCTATTAAATAAATTTTGAAGTTCCTAGCTATCTTCAAGGATCCCTTAGCAGTTTTTGATACTCCTGGACTGGCCGCTAATCTTGGTCTTGAGAAACACAGTAACATGATGGTTCCAGCTCTGCCTGGAGAAATGACTTCTAAAAGTAGAACTGTGTTAAAGGTTCTTAGATGACCCCACAATAGTCTGTTTTATCTGCTTCAACTTTTATTATCTGCATGAAATCACTAAAAGCTTTGGACTGACATTCACCTCTTTCCATTTTCTGTTGTGCAACTTTTGAGCTGGTCTCTGGAGCTGCTTCTTGGGCACAACTAAGACTTAACTCAGGCAAGAGGAAAGAACTCTGTGTAAAAAGCCCAACATTTCAAGGATGGTGGCTTACAATGAGACTTTGATAAGTTCCTGGAGTATGTGAAATCTATGGGGCCTGCAATAATTCATAATTCTTACCAGATTAAGCAGCATACTGAGATAACATTTTGACAGAATAAACTTTATTCCAGTTTTTAACGGTCTATTGTAATCATCTCCAAACTGACTAGTATATACATTACAATCCCAGCCTATTGCTGGCTAAAGTATTCTGGAAATTGGTCCATATTTCTGTAAAGCTTCCTTCTACAGCTAGCTCAGAAAATTTGTATTGATACTGATAGGTGCAAAGCAACTGGACGTGGATATTATTCATTGGCTGCAATGATTACACTCATATTTCCAATGTAAATGTATTGGTGTTGGGCTTTAAAGTCCAAAATTTTTTATGCCCACTTGATGAATTTCAGTAGTACAGATTCTATAGTATACACCAGCCTGGCAAAAAGATCAGTTGATTGACATGAGGAATACGGCCTTCTTGAGAACAGCCCTTCTGTTTATGAATTTGATTCCAATTAATACTTACCGGGATCAATCATTGCAGTTCTTTAATGGGTCAGTCTTGTATGATCTGATTATATTGATAGCTTAATTTCACAGTTTTAAAAGTCATCATTTTCTAGTTCATGTATTTCTATCACTTTGGAAAAATTCAAAGTGATTTGCAAAACTTTCACCGCAATAACTAACCAGAAATCTGTTTATTCACCTACCTTTCTTTCCCGTTCTGATACATTCTGCATTAATTATTATCAACAGCAGTTTGATGATTCGTCCACAAAACTTCTGCAATCAGTTAGAGATTCCACCAAGGCTCAAAAACAACTCTATGAACAATGTGCCAATGGTAGGTACATTCTTCATTTGCCTTCTCCTTCCAGTTGCCTCTTGATTCATATTTAAGATGAATAAATCTCTAAGGAGCATGGATCCTTTTTCATCTTGGAGACCTCCCTTTGCTAGAGCTTGACCTGCTGGGACATTCAAGTGTAAGGAACAGTAAAGTATGCAAGAATATCATCTAGAAAGGCATTTCAACATCATATTCTCAAACTGATTGGGGAAAAAACACCAAAGGAATAAGCAGACTCTCCTCCCTTTATCTGGACACATTTATCACATTCATATTCTCATTTTTGTGAACTCTCACACAGGTGCCAACTTCATACATTATACTAATGCATGGCTTGTTTCACCATATTTACTATATAAACCACAACTGGCTGGTTTTCACAATACCCTAAGCCAGGGGTAGGCAACTTTGGCTCTTTTATGACTCGTGGACTTCAACTCCCAGAATTCCTGAGTCAGCCAACAAAAACTTTAGAACAATATGCAAATTCAGTATAAGTGAGTACTTACAAGCATTAGTTTCTTCAGATCAGCACTGCAGAGATTTTCCACTTTGGGTATGTTCAAAAGTTTTAAAGCTGTATGAGATCTGTTATTCAGGTGCTTGTTAAAAAAAAAAAACTAAAAAAAAAAAAAGCTAAAAACGCATGGTAACTCCATACTACTTTACTGCCCCGCTGCCCAATATTGGTTCAACTTCTCAAGAAAAGTATTTTTGCTCCCTATAAAGATTTTAATTTCTTTAAATGCAGACTACATAAGATGCTAGATTTAATTTTATTTTCATTTCAAAAAATAATCCAAATCTTTGACCAGATCATGGATACTGAGACAGGTGGGATAATTTAAATCCTATTCATTTCCACAAGAAAATTTTCCAATTCAAAGCATTCCAGAAAATTTACGTACCTCTAGCACTGCACAAGTTTAAAAGGATTTCAAGTTTATTCATTAGCTGCGGCTTTAGAGAAAGTTTGGAAGAGATTTTCCATGGCCTTCCCACTCCCACACTGGTCTACGTTACTAAACTTTATTGGACTAATCATATGAATTCAAGTATCTCCTCCAGGTTGGGAACCTCTGGCTGAGTTACAACTTTCAGCAACATCAGCAGGATACCAACTATGAGGGACATAGAGAACTATAATTCCGTAACATTGGAAGAGCCACGGTTCTTTCCCTGCCTGCATTAGGATGTTATCTAGAAAAGCATTACAATAATCAGGTTCAGCTTTCATAGAATTGTTTCAACAACTCCAGCATCTTACAAAGGATTTGGGGAAGCATTGCAGGACTGTGTTCACACAGTGTATTAAGCCAATGTGGTGCGTGCTGTATGAATAAGTGGTTGGGTTAACATAACATACCGATTCAGAAGTAAACTGAAACATACAGTATGGCTTAGTATGGGAAGTGAATTCATCTAACTCATGTTGCACTATTAAGCCATTCTTCCATCTCCTCTACCTGAATGGATAATGTTATTTGTGCTCTGCCTCAGTTTTAGTCCAAGTAGAAACATGGGTAACCAGGGGGCAACCTTATGTTCTATTACTGATATAGCTCTGAGGAGCCCTTACTAAGCATCTGAAGAATCTCAAAACTTATCCAGAGCACAGTATGAAAACCATTAGCCTAAAGGCATCCGCCCTCTTCTTGCTACCATAAACTCCACAGAGACTTGATTTCCCGCAATTCATAAAGGCAACAAGCTCCTCCTGAGCAGCTCATCTTGTTCCAGATAATTATAGCACTTCAAATCTATTTGCATGGTAAACCAAAATAAAAATAGGTTCCCTGTAACCAGAAATATGAGTTAAGCCCCTAAACCAGAAATATAATAAGCCAGAATTAGCTCAATACTATAGGCTGGAAATTGTCCTTATCTTTCTTCATAAAAGCTGCATTTGCTTACTGTTCTACTAAACGTATGGTTAATAGTGGGTGCCATTTTAGATCCTAATACACATGCCTCTTTAACTTACTGTGTCATCTGAGCACAGAACATCAACCACATGGGTCTAGTATCAACTAGATATTGGTTAGTTAGTATCTAGTTAGTTTGAACAAAACTAAAATAGTATCCATCTTATGAAATTCTCCCTCCAGATCAGGATGGTCCCAAATCTGCTGACTTTTGGTATGTCCTTAAAGGCCTAGCTCTATGCTTGGTCCTGGGCCCCCGAATATATGACGGTAGCCATTTAATGGTTAATTTAGTGATTACGATGAGTGATGTATTCTCAGCTGCTATGTATTTATCTTTCGTATTACTGTAATTGTTTTTACTTTAAAATTTTGTTCCTCACACAGAATCCCTTAGTCAGCTATACAAAATAAATAAAGAAATCTCTTGTAGCTTGTGTGTGTGTGTGCATGCGCGCATGGCCATATTTGCAGTGCACATATACAAACATGTTCATGTGCCACTATCAAAAACAGGTTCATCAAAGCTGTTTTAAAACCAGCTTGATGTCAACAATGTCTGGATTCCCACATTTTATAAGCCATCAATCATGATTTACAGACAACTATAGCTGCTTTCACACAATAAGCCGAATCTAAACCTACATTTACTATAGTATAATATGTGACATCCACACATTATTAGGCAATAACACTATATATCTATATTAAGGAAAGCTTTGCAAACTAAAGTGGGTGTTTTTTTAAAGCCCAAGAGCAGGCCGTGATATTTTTCTTTCTCATTGGCTGGCAACTCTTGCTCCCTTATTAGCATACAAATCCAGCCCTCCTTATTTAATAAGAGATAATCATGAGTAAAATGGAAGGAGTGATTAAAGAATACGAAGTAGTTATTAATCTTCATTGAAAAAATAAGGGTATTCTCTTACACACTTTGGCACCATTGGAAGAAACATTTTTAAAAAAACCCTCTCTTTTCTCTCCTTGGAAATGATGTGGGAACTCTTAGGCAATCTTGCCAGATCTCTTGATTGATTGAGGTTTGGTCCACATCCCACTCCTTGCTCACAAAACATCTATCTCATGCCCTTTGCGCCCCAGATTTGTTAATGCTGAATCTTACTCATATGCTCTCCTTCAGAATTAAGGGATTCATCACTTACCTTTATGAGTACTGTCTCCTATCTTCCCTCTAACAGAAGCGGATTACCCTGGAAGCTGTTCCCAGGCAGAAACACAACTGAAATAGCAAAGAGCAGAACAACCTTAGCCCAGGGAAGAGAGAGAGGTAGTTTCCTGATTGTGACTTAAGCCTTCAGTACCTTCTGATAACATTATCACTGGACACAGAAGGAATCCAACTCTTTGCTCAGTGCAAAGATAATTTGATTGAAATCAAATTAAGGCGAAACCATCATCTTTCTGGAAAACGGGTCCCATTATTAAGTTATCATTATGACATTTTTCCTAATATTGAATTGCCACCTACATTGCTGAAATTAAAGCTATTATTCTGTGTCCTGCAATCAAGAACCCTAGAGAATGAGTCTTGGCCTTCTTTTGGATGGCAACCTTTCCAATATTTGAATATGATACTATCATATTCCTCCATAGTCTTCTCAAGTCTAAACATTTCTTCAGTCATATGCTTCAGTTCTTATTGCCCTTTCTGTGACCTTGTTACAATTCATCTGAACTGTTTGGGTTGAACTGCTACTTTCTTGGATTAGAGAGCTGCATTTTTACTGATGCAACATGCATTCATCTTTTCTGCAGCTACGCCACTCTGTCAATTCAGCTCGTAATCAACTACTATGACAGTGTTTTTTTCATAAGGACTATTATCAAACCAGGTATCCACCATCAGCTACTCCATGTCAGAATGACAAGACAGGTTCTTTACAACGATGATACACCAGCTACATCTGCCATTTCCAATGGGGTAAAACAGTGTTATGTACTAGCCCCAGTCCTATGTAATCTATTCTTCGTTTGCATATTGTCAAATTTGAGCCAGGGTCTGAAGGAGGAAATGTATAGCTTTCTCTCTGCCCTTCGCCAGTTGAATGTATGAAGTGCCTCCGTATGTCATTCAAGAAACCCTTACAGTGATCTACAGTTGATGCTTAACAAATTTTAAAGATACAACTATTCTCTTTGGCCTAATGTCCTGAACAAGACTGAAGTACTTTACCAGTCCATGTTAAATACCAAGCTCATTGAACCTAAAATCACTGTTGATGATACCTAGCTGACAAATGTAAACAGCTTCAAATACTTGGGAAGCATCATCTCAAGCGATGGATCTTTGGACAAAGAAACTGACTCCAGGATCAGCAAGGTGAGCTAGACACTGGGATGACTACATATTAGAATGCTTAATCAACCCAATATCTGTATCTTCACAAAGCTGAAAATCTACAGAACTCTGGTTATGCCTTTCCTCCTATATGGTTGTGAGTCCTGGACTCTGTACTGAAGACCCATCAATAACCAAAGACATTTCCCATGCGTGCTTTCCACTCCATTCTTGGCATACATTGACAAGACCGTGTCTCCAACCTGGAGGGTTTTTTTTTTTCAAATTTTATTAAATGTACATTTTAAAAACCTTATGTTACAGAAAGAAAGACAGAAACTTAAAATACATTCTATAACAGGACAGAGTATAACAGACTATGCGTGTAACATCTGTAAATTTTTTGATAAACCATTTTTCAATTGTCAATGTTGTATTTACATATCATTCAGTTGTGTCCTAACATAAGTACTAATAAAAAGTCCTTATAATATCAACTAGTCAATCGATAATCATCTCAGCGATCCTCCTTACCTCTAACCAATCGTACCAATTTTTCCAAATTTCATAATACTCTGTTTCAGTTTTATTTTTAACCTCTAGGGTTAACCTGTCCATTTCAGCGCAGGATAAAATTTTATTTATTATTTCTTCCTCAGTGGGGGTTTCCTTTCCTTTCCATTTTTGGGCGTATGCCAATCTTGCCGTGGTTAAAATATGCAGTAGTAAGTAAAAAGATGCTTTGCTGAGTTTATCATTAATTATCCCTAATAAGAAGATTTCTGGTTTTAAATCAATTTTTTGTAATAATATTTCTTCCAGCCAATTTTTGATCCGATTCCAAAAATTTTGCGCCTTTGAACATTTCCACCACATGTGATAGGAAGTCCCTGGAAGCCTTCTACAGTTCTTGCATGTCGTGTACAACCTGGAGGTCTTGTTCACCAGCTTTAAGTCCCTAATTATCAGAACCCAGATAAGATTGGTAGGGCATGTCATCAGAATTGATGTCCGCCATATGCCTCACCAATTTCTCCATAATGTAATGGAGTCTAGGAAGAGACTGCAAGGTTAACCATGCAACCTCTACAAAGACACTGTGAAAGAGGCACTATGCCACTGTGACATTCAGCCAAGGAAACTAGAAGCTGCAACTGCTGATTGATGCCACTGAGGAACCCTGTGCAACTAAGGCTCTACTATCTTTGAAGACAGGTGCCATGCAAAACTAATAAAAAAACATGAACATCACAGAGTAACACTCAGTTACCACAACAATGGACTACCAATGGCCCCACTGTCCAGGCTGGGACTTCAGAGCTACTTCCATGTCCAGAGATGAACTGAACAACAATATGTTTTTTTCAGACTTGAAGGACTACCATATATTAATAATCGTTCCCTTCACTTCCTCATCCAAATTAATGAAATACTGAAATATAGAAGTTTTCTGACCTTCAGCAGTTCTTTAGAATCTTGAAAAACCCCCACTGTCTAATTAAGGTAGATACTAGATTAAGAAATTAATATGGCAATAAGCAGTTGAATCAAGGACAGTTGCATCCACTGATTTCATTGCTCACCTTATGGCTTTATCCACTGGGACAAAGCATTCAACATCACCTCCTTAATTTATATTTTTTTGGAAATGGAGTGTCAGAAATGCACCACCAGTACCCATAATCACATAAAAACCGTAGGAAGAAAGTATACAAAGAACTGCACATTCTGAAACATATCCATATTTGCTCCAAAAGGAATAAGAAAATAACCCTCAATTTAAGACCAGCCCTCCCCCCAAAAGATATAAAATAGAAAAATCTCATTTATCGATATAATTATATTTTTGGTGAATTTAAGATAGCACTCTCATTTTAAAACTAATTCATTCGAGGACGTAATTCTGCCTTTGCTTTTACGCAAATTCATATTGAGCCTGACTGACAAATTCAATTTCCATTCTGATATCCTTTATTCTACGTGACTTGATTTCTCTCCATCAGATACTCAAAACACTCAATGCTGTAGCAATATCTGAATATCTCCATCCAGATCATATCATTCTCAACAGGTTTGGAAGCTAAAAAGCTAGGTTTGATGTTATTTCTCAGCTTAAATGTCCCACTGAAATTCCATCCTTGGAAAAAATCCTATTTCCCAAAATTAGTCAGTGCTACTTGCTTTAGAAGTGGGGGGGGGGGGAGAGAGACACAAAGTCTGAGGAAAGAAGCTTTGAGGAGAGTTTGTTTTTAAAAAAAATATATTTACATTATATTTTAATGTAAAAGAATAATAAAATATGAAAAACATAGAAAACATTTGGAAATCAAGAAGTAAACTAAAATGTGACAGAGAAGTCAGGAGTCACGCAAACAAACCTTTAGTTTGTTGAAGTTCATGAAAATTATAAAAATAAGGATCAGAAAAAAAGGGAAAATGCTTTAGAGTGATTCAACAATGTACCATGTGGCAAATGCATATTCTGATATTTGGTTTTCTTACTCTACCTACCACCCACCGACTTTTTTTGAAAATTTAGTATTTTCTGTTAAGTCTTCTAGTGTAAGTCCTGATTTTGAGCTAGCGGGTGTGACCACAGGACATGCTACTTTTAACAATCAGGAAGATCAAACTGAATAGAATGAGATCCTGGTCACATTATTGATGAAGACTTTTCATCATTATCATATTCAGGTGTGGTTCCCTTAATTAATGTTTCTTAAAAGACAAAGCAATTTAGTTCACACACTATGAGCTAAATCAAAACAAAATAACCACAATATAGTTTTTAGTGTAATATTACCTGACACCATCTTTGGTCCAGAGGCCTAAAGATTCACTCAAGAGCTGAATCTGCTACAATTTGCTGAATTAGCCACAATTGGTTCACATGCTAAGCCAAAATTAATTAAATCACATTATGATTTAGCATGCTGTGGAAATAAGGCCCAGCTGCTGGAAGAACAGAAATCATGAAGTTGAAAGTACTTTTTCTCTGCTGCTCTATAAACTTACCAACAAGACAAAGCTCTCTTGCTGTGGGTAAAATTATCCACAAAGCTCATCAAATCCCAGAGAAATCCCAACAGAACAGCCTACAATGACAGGAATTGATGCAAAAGGAGGCAGAAAATGTTTCAACCATTTTAAAGAGAGGCTCCACCTCGAGTTAGATAGAAAACGTGGCCTGGTTTGATTGTAGTGACCTCATTAATATTTATTTTAATAATTGGCAACCTATCTTTTCTGCCAGAAACATATTTCATTTCCTGTCACTCTTAGCAGAATTCCCAGGCCAGTTTACAAAAAAGAAGAGAAAATATAGCATTCACACATATTACCAACAAATTAATTATTAAAGATGCCACACCTTACCATTAACTATTTGATGACCCCTAATAATTGCAGCAACCATGTTCTTATTCCCATTGTTCCTTCACCTCTACACAGGGTTGCCATAGTAGCATGCTTTTTCACTCTTCTTTTCTCACTAAGGGGTTACAGCTTCTCTAGGTCTGTGTGGGAGGAGACTGTTATAACCCCACCTCCAAAGCCTATTTGGAATTCTCTTGTCCTTTTTTCTTCTTTTCCCCACAATACAGACCTTTAAAAGCAGAGTATCTTGAAGTAACCAAAATAAGAGTCAAACGGAAGAACTTACAAAGGTGGGCATACTGTGAGATGCAGCCTTTACAAGGACTGAGCCACTGGACTGGAAGTTTAACAACACTGGGAATCACAGTGGTGCCAAGTCAAACAACAACACACATGATGGTTTAGCACAAAGCATAAGCCTGTACATCTCCTCAAAATTATAATGTAACTTAGACCTGACACATTGTCATAGTGTAACTTTGTGCAAACGAGACAACTTTGACTTGTTCCATAAATGTGACCATATGTGGGAATGACCTTGGGAGAAAGGAAGAAT